AGGGGAGGAGGGCAGGTTTGGGGGGCCTTGCGGTCTGGACGGGCCCCTGAGTCCCTGGACAAGAAGGGGTGGGTGAGGCGGATGGTTTGTCCCCCGCCGGCGCTGGAGCCCCTGCCCCTCGGAGCTGCTCTCAGAACCGCTCCGGCAGAGGGAGAGCCATATCCCACGAGCGGCACCCCGTGGGCGGTCGGGGTGGGTGGTTGTATGGAGGAAAGAGGCCCAGATAAGAAACTGGAGGGGGACACATGTGTCCGGATTTCCTGTATGGCAGGTGAGCTGTTTACAGGGGAACCCCCAAGTCTTCATTTCTAACAAGGTGGGTTCCTGAGATGCCCTGGTTCTTCCCTAGGCTCATAGAACAAGACAGAAGGGTGAAGGGCAGGTGGGGGGCAGCAGGGAGTGGAAGCATCTGGACAGGCCCTGGGGGCCCGGGGGCTGGAGACCACACACGTGGAGGCCCTGAGGCTTGCACGCTGCCGTGACATTCTGGCTTTCTCTGGTTTATGAGCCTCTGTGGGCTTGGAAGACAAGTTTGCTGGTTTTACTAAGCAACATTTAGGACACGTTTTTTACCAGCCTCCAGACCAGCAATATACCAACAGAGCTGCTCAGCATTTCCCAATTATTTTCTCTGGTGGTTCCTTTGTGTGGGGCCCCCAGAAGCCTGCATCTTAAAGGAGGTCAGGGACCCCATGTCAACCCACCCATGGGGCCTGGGGTCTGCTCCCCCACCTCTCACCCCCAGAGCCCCAGGAATGGACGTGCAAGGAGCTGGGTCCGTGTTCCATTTCCAGGACCACACCTAGGAAAGCTGGAGCAGCGTGGTTTACAAGAGGTGATTCAGCAGCATTTGGTCTCACCTCGTGGGTGTTTACTTCCATGACATACAGAGTCTAGAAGAGCTGGTCTTTCCATCCTCTCTGTAATGAGAACATGTGAGCATAGGACTCCTTCTCTCCAACCTTATAGCTCAGGACTTTGTCAAGATGTCAGCTGGATGCATGTCACGAGTGTGCACTCTTGCAGTGAGAATCCTCCATGGCCTTGTGGGGCCCCCAGTGCTGCAGGGGGCTGGTTCTGTTACTCCAGACGGTGATGCTATGATGGATTTCTTCTCCAGAACTGCTGTACAATAGTCCTCTCTCTTCTGAACGAGCCGTCACAGTCTGAGACCCTCTTCTGACCAAAAGGACAGAGCCCCTGGCCAGCACATGGCCCAGAAAACGCGCGGCACTGTTAGATTATGGAAGGATAGTGCGCTTTCCTGGCTGTGCCTTCCCTTCCAGGAAGAGGCGCCTTGTGCCGTCGGGAGTGGGGAGATTGTAGATGGGCTGATGCAGGGAATCCACTGAGGGTGAAGAGGGCAGAGGGGAGGCCCCTGAGGGGAGGACCGAGGTGATCTCGCACTTGTTTGTGTCTGGTTGTGTGTGCAGGGGCATTCGGAGGGGCCGTGCCGCGTGCGCATCCCTCCAGCCTCTCCTCCTGGGCTCTTTACCTGGGAAGGGCGTTGTTGGCGGGGCTTGGAGAAACGTGGATTCCCGCTGAGAGTCAGTACTGGTACAGAAATGAGGGAGGAGGGACAGCTCGTTGCTCTGGTGGAAAGCCACTAATGGATGTGGAAGGATATGGAGACAGTCATCCGTTGGCGGTCTCCATGTGGCTGACTCAGCCCATAGGCAGCCCCAGGGCCCAGGCCGGTGCGTGGACATCCCATAAGCAGCAGACAGTGGCCTGGTCTCCGGCTGTTCTGGGAAGACAGCAGTTACAGAGGGAGAAGGGTGACTTTGGGCCACTAGCCCCGCAGTGTGTTCACACTGCTCCCAGCGTGGCATCGTGAGGACATGTCAGACCTGGCTGGGGCCCGTCCATAGCCCGAGAAGCCCGCACCCTCTAAACTGCCCAGACGGAGGGGGGCAGACTGGGGGGCACAGGAGGGACCAGAACACCGAGAGGGGCATTTGGTAGTTGGGATGGTTCTGTTTGGTAAAGTGGGAGAACGGCCCCACATGGGGAAGTGCCGAGTGTCAGGAGCATCGTGTCTGCCTCTTGCTGTGGAGACAGAGGATCGATGGTGGGTGTCAGGTTGTGGATGAGCCTGCAGAGGTGATAGACGGTCCCAGAGTCCCCGGAACCAAGCCCTTGTTCAGCCCATAACAGCAGCATGGTTATGATGGGACATCTGTGACCACAGAGAGGCCACGAAATAGCTATCCGTCTCTTTCCACGTGAGAGCAGGTTGTTCTTCCACGTGCGCGTCTAAGTCTTCTGTTGCTGGGAATAAGGAGAACACTTGTCTCGAGTTCTTGGGTGTGAGCTGTAGCACAGAGGCCCCCATGGCTCTGACCAGCTGCCGGCCCTCTGAGCTGCACAAGCCCCTCCCAGGACCCAGAAGATCATGAGCGGCTGTCGCAGAGACCCCTGCCGGGCCCCCACCTAGAGCAGCAGTCGGGGGCTCTCCTAGCTCCTTGGAGTTTGTGTGCTATGTTGGATGGCCAAACGCGAGCCTACTAAAGGGCACAGTCCGTGGACTGGGGGAGTCCGGGGCCTCGCACGCAGGGAGCTCTGACCCCGAAGGAGAGTTTTGCAGATGCGAGAGGCCGTGGAGACCCCGTGGGGGTTTCCTGCTAAGGCAGTGGGTCCTGTTGTCTGGGGTCGGTGAGCTCCCAGGAGCACAGCTGGAGGACGGTGATGGGTCAGGTGTTCCCATGCGTGTGGGCTTGTGGAGGGTTAGATTTGTGAGTCTCAGTACGCCAGTTAACCTTCTCAGCTGCACCCGCCACCGTCCACGCAGGCATGTGCCCGAGCAGACTGGAGGGCTGGCTGGCTCACCACACCCCTCGCGGCCCACTCCCACCATTCGCTGCTTCTTCTGGCGCCGCGGCCTCCTTGTAGACCTGCTGTGCCTTTGTCTCACTTCTGTGCCTTGGGTGTTCTTCACCAGAGTCCGGCACAAGGCCCACCACCCCAGCCGTGCCTGCTCTCCACACCTTAGCCGCCAGCACGACCATGTCAGGACGGCAGCTACCCACGCACTGGGCTCTGGAGTTGAGCCTCTGTGTCCTGGCCCTCTGTGTCCTGGCCCTGTGTCCCGGCTACATCTGCACCTTCCTCCACATTCCTGCAGTGAGCCAGCTCAGGCCCGCACAGGCTGGCTCTGGGGGGCCCCCGTCTTGCCATCATTCAGGTGTGAACCCAGTGCCACCTGCTTTAGGGGACCCCAGACCGCCACCCAGTCGTTCACCACGACATGCATCTCGACATGGGGCTCGTCACTGGATCCCTGCGTCCAGGACAGTGCGTGGCGCCAAGTAGGGCTTTACAGAGGACGCCCTTCTCCTGAGGGGAGCAGAGCTGCCCAGGCCCCGAGAGTGGAGGGACGTTCCTTGTAGAAACAAGGTCTCATTTCATACAGCAACATGCACCTGTTTTAGCCGTAATTTACTGAGTTTGGACAGACGCCCTTGTGGTCCGCCCTGCTCCTGCCTCTCACCCCGTGACCTCTGCTCTGTTGTCTCCTTCTCTAGACTCTCAAAAATGTGGCCCTTTGTGTCGCCTTCTGAGGTTAGTCCATGCTCTTGTGTGGATGACGCTGCTGCCTAACATCCTTCCGTTGTACAGAAGGCCCAAGTTGTTTGCACACCTGCTGTGGGGGAGCTGGGCCTGGTGTATGGGCAGAAAGGATCACTCACTGTTTCCAGTTTGGGGCTCTGATTAATGAGCAGTTGCATGCAACTCTCTGGACATGTTTTGGTTTCCCTCGGGTAAATACTTGGCCGTGGGATTGCTTGCATATCTAACTCCTTAAGAAGCCACCGGACTTACCCAGTTTCCACCAGCAACAGATCCGCTTCTCCACCAAAACTCGGTATTATTAGCCGTGTTTATATTAGCCGTTCTGGTGGGTGCAAGGTGGTATCTCACTGTGGTTTTAATTTGCATTTCGGTAACGACTAATGATACTACCTTTTTCCTTCCACATCTCTTCTTTGGTTAGGTATCTTTAAATCCTTTGACGGTTATATAAACTAGGTTGTTTGTCTTCTTATCAATGAGTTCCAAGTGTTCCTTACATGTAGTCTGAGGCTGGCCTTTTGAAGAGTGGTCATTTCTAATTCTGATGAAGTTACCCAATTTATTTCTCTTTTGTGGATCCTAGTTTTTGTTTCGTACCTGAGAAATCTTTGGCTAATCCAGGACTACAAAGATTCTTTTATTTTTAGTAAGTTTTATAATTTTAGCTCTTACATTTAGGTCTGTGATCCATGTCTGTGTATGGGCTACGCATGGAGGCTCACTTTTCTACATCGATACATTCTTGTCCCGGCACATCTGTTGGAAAGTCTGGGATGTGTTTTGTCCCCCGGTGAAACCTCACACATACTCTGGACGAGACTCTCTTCAACTACAAGATGTTATTAAAATATGACCAGATCCAATTAAATGGGGAAGAACAGTCTTTTCAAAGACTTGATATGGAGACAGCTGAATATTCCCAGACAAAAGAATGAAGGTGGACTCCTACCTTACATCATCTACAAAAGTTAACTCAAAATGGATCAAAGACCTAATTTTAAAAGCTAAAAATATAGGGGCGCCTGGGTGGCTCAGTTGGTTAAGTGACTGCCTTCGGCTCAGGTCATGGTCCCAGGGTCCTCGGATTGAGTCCCACATCGGGCTCCTTGCTCAGCGGGGAGCCTGCTTCTCCCTCTGACCCTCTCCCCTCTCATGCTGTTTCTCTCTCTCTCTCAAAAAAATAAATAAAATCTTAAAAAAAAAAAGCTAAAAATATAAATCTCTTAAAAAAAAACATAGGTGTAAATCTCTGTGACCTTGGGTTCAGCATTGGTTTCTTAGCTATGACACCGAAACACAAGCAAGAAAAAGAACAAAAATAGATAAACTGGACTTCATAAAAATTAAAAACTTTACTCGGGTGACACCAGTAAGGAAGTAAAAAGACAATCCACAGAATGGGAGAAATCCATTTATCTGACAACTGATTTGTATCCAGACTATATAAAGAACTATTATAATTCGATAATAAAAAGAAAAACAGCCCAGTTTAAAAATTAGGCAAAGGATCTGAACACACATTTCTCCAGAGGAGGTGTGCAGATGAATGAACACATGTGAAGAGGCTCAGCATCCATGGCCATCAGAGAAAATCAGGGAAATGCAAATCCACAGTGACCTTCCACCTCACACCCACCAGGAGGACAAGAACAGTTTCTAAGAGGGGGTGATGACCAACGTTGTCAGCAAGGAGACAGAGAAATCAGGACCCTCAGACAATGCTGATGGAATCATGAAGGCGGGCGGCCGCCATGGGCAGCAGTTGGGCAGTTCCTCCATGGTTACGTGGATTTCCATAAATCTCAGTGGTGCTGCTCCCAGGCGCATAACCATGAGGAAGGAGAACGCATGTGCCCACCCGTGTTCACAGCAGCATTGTTTCCGGTAGCCAAAAAGCAAAGAACCCCCACGTGCCCATCAGCTGACGAATGGATGAACAGTGGGGTGTTACTCAGCCGCGCAAAGGAGTGAGCATGGAGGTCGGCTACCGCGTGCTCACACCCTGAAAACGTGCAAGTCAAAGAGGCCAGTGACCCAAGACACATCTCGAATGATTCTGTTTGTCTGAAATGCCCAGAACAGGGACATCTGTGGACTGTCTGTCCATGCTCGCTGCCTGATGCCTGGGGGGCACAGAGGGGTGAAGGGGCAGTAGCTAAAGAGCAGGGCTTCCACACTGGACTGCAGAGATGATGTACGACCTTGTGAATACACTAAAAGCCCTGAATTATATACACTTTAAAGGAGTGTTATGTGAATTTTATCTCAATTTTTTAAAAAAATCATTGAATCAGCCAGACATAAAGTCAAGATGAATTAACTGTGGACACCCAGGAGTGCATTTAAGCTCAGAATGCAAGGTTTCCCATTCGTGTGAGTGGGAGGCAGGCAGGGTGCCTGGTCCCTTTCCCTTCGGCACTGGGCTGGTATCACGGGCACGAAAACGCAAGGCTGGTTTTTCTCCAATGCTCTTACAAATTCTGTTCCCTTTGGACCAGCAGCCACTTCAACAGCAAAGCCAATCTCCGGAGTGAAAGGGTCTGACCCCAAACCAGCGTCCCCCCGGCCGCCACTTCTGCCGCACAGACACCGGGGAAGTTCTTGAATGCAGACCCCGAGGCGTGTGGCAAGCAGCTGAGTGAACACCTCTGTTGAATCACCACTTAGGACAGGCTTCCTGGGGAGGGCTAACGCCCCGCATGTGCAGAGCACCCACATCCCAAAGCTCGTTCCCCGGCTTCCCAACGATACCTCCCATCAGATAGAGTCGTATGCAAGACTTCTAACCACTGCTAAAACGTGCTCGTCTGCGTTCAGAGCTGCGTCCCACGTCACAGCGTCTCTGTTCTCCCGCAGCACCACCCGCACGCTGCTGGCCCGTGGGCTCTGCTCTGTGCTCTCCCCCCTGCGGTGTGTGCTGTGCGCGGAGGGCGAGGAGCCGATAACGGGCCGCGTCACTACCTTGTGTAAAAGGCGACTTACCGCACCCCCAAAGAGCTCTCCAGATCTCTTCCTAACGTCAGCATTTCTACTTGTTTTCTGTTTGTTTGTTAAGATTTTATTAGAAAGAATGAGAGAGAGAGAGCATGAGAGGGGGGAGGGTCAGAGGGAGAAGCAGACTCCCCGCCGAGCAGGGAGCCCGATGCGGGACTCGATCCTGGGACTCCAGGATCATGACCTGAGCTGAAGGCAGCCGCTTAATGACTGAGCCACCCAGGCGCCCTGTTTGTTTTTAAACTAGAGGAAGTATATCTTTTAGTGAACGCTTCTTATCTAAACCCTCCTTTTGCTTGTGAGGAGGCCTGGCCAGGCTGTGAGGTCCGCCTGGAGGCTGAGCCTGCAGCACGTGTGCACCCCTGGGCCCCACGCTGGAGCCGGCCCCGGCCTCAGGCGGCCGCCCCACAGCCTGGGAGCTGCCCTGCCGTGCTCACGTGTCCCTCCGTGCGGCTCAGCTACAGCTGTTATTAATTTAGAAGAGCTTGAGGTTTAAAAGTCAGCCAGCACTTTCCATTTAAAACACTCAGGTACACATTTGCTCACACACACTGGCTGAAGTTAGAAACTGTCTGTAAGCCTAAACCAGGCCGAGCCCAGCACTTGGTCAGAACGGCTTGATGTTTGGATGCGATCTTGCTCTGTTGGCGTCTCTCACATGCAGGTCTGGGAGCACGGGCCTCACGCTGGCAGCAGAGGCTGGTCTTCGCACTAGCCCTTTAGACGTCTTTGTCCCTACAAGACCTCCTCCTTGGGGCTGATGGGGTTCTGTCCACCGAGTACTTGTGTCCTCAGGAAGGTCCTGTCCTCTGAAGCCCCGGGTTCTGCCACCCACAGCGCTAGCCCTGCCGCTCTGTCCCGTGAGGCTCCATGTGGGACACGGCGGGGCTCGCAGCTGACCTCAGCGTCAGCCCAGGGGTCTTGTTTCTACACCAGGCACGGCGGGAGGAGGGAGAGGAGATGTGTCTCAGACGCTGCCCCAGAGCCCACAGGCTCACTGCCGTCCCCCAGCCCTACAGTCCGCTCCCTGGAGAGCAGACCTCAAAGTCAGGTGTGTGTTCAGGTGTCAGTTCTGCTGCGAGGAATAGGAAGACAGATTTATCTACAATATTAGGCGGAGGGGAAAGCCAACCCTACCTTAGGGTTGCAAGCCTGGGAATCTATGAAATCCCACTTCATCTCCCTCTTTTTTTTTTTTTTAAAGATTTTTTTTATTTATTTATTTGAGAGAGAGCATGAGAGGGGGAGGGGCAGAGGGAGAAGCAGACTCCCTGCCGAGCAGAGAGCCCGATGCGGGACTCGATCCCGGGACTCCAGGATCATGACCTGAGCCGAAGGCAGTCGCTTAACCAACTGAGCCACCCAGGCGCCCCATCTCCCTCTTTGAGAGAGAATACCTTTGGCTCTGAAATGGCATGTGATCTCCTCGTGAAGCTGGCTTGGCAGAGCATGCTCCCCAAGACCCTGTTAGCCAGGGGAGACTGACAGAGAGGTCACGGGGGCCCCCAGTGGCCCTGCTCCCGACATGCAGATGGGCAGGAGCCATTGGGCGGCCAGTGTGAGGATGGACACCATGGCAGGGGCCTGCCCAGGGGCCGCAGTTTGAAGGGTTTTAAGGCCAAATGCTAAAGCTCTAGAGAACAGCAGTGAACATCCCGGCAGACAGCACCGGTCGTCAGGGCGCGCATCACCTTGGGGAGTTGCAAGGAGCACTGCAGAGCATGTGTGACTGGTCTTCTCAGGCCACCCAGGTCTCGAGAACAGGACAGACCGAGGGGCCACCCCAGAGCAGAGGGGTCTAGGGAGGCAGTGTAGCCAAAGGCCGGAGAGCCCTGGGGGACAAACAGGTGAAATCGGGATGAAGCTCTTCTCTAACCTGCTAACACTGAGAGGTAGAGGGTAGAGGGTGTGGGCACATGAGGGCCGTGGGGCGGTGGAAAGATCTAGAACAGGCAGCGCCAGTGAACACAGGAGGCAGGAGTGGGGTGGCCGGGTCTGAGACCCCAGAGGCGCTCCTGCAGGACCAGCCAAGAGGGGCCCTGGCTGTGCGCAAGATGGAAATCAAACGTGAGCCAGCCAGCGGGAGGTGAGAGCGGAGTTTACTGAACTTAGAAAGAAAGATACAGACAGAGCATCCAGGAGACATGGAAAGGAAAGGAGGGAGTCTCGTCTTTGTTTGGGGCCTGGGGGGCTTTACTGGGGACGGTGGTCTGGTGCACACGTCCCCTGAGGCATCCAGGAACCGTGAGAGCAGAGACGAGGGCCCAGGTGTTACTCCTCGGAACCAGGACGCCTTGGTGCCGGGGTGTCTAGCACTGGGGGTCTGGAATACCCACATGATGGCTTCCAGTCCTTCTCACCTGGTCCTGCCTTTGATGTGGTCTCTTCTAGAGAAACCACTGAGTCCTGGTCCCTTATGAGGAGGGCAGACAGCATCTACATTGAGGCCTGTATAAATTGGGGGTGCAGGTCCTAACAACAAGAGAAGCAGGAAAAGGAGCCCAGAGCAGGTTTTTGTGGAGCCTTCAGTTTCCCTGTCTCCGCCAGGGCCCCATGCTGCCCAACTACCCGCACCCGCAACCTGAAGACCTTCGTGAGGGCTCCTGGCTTCTGTTCTGTCACTGACTTTTCTGTACCCGCTTCCTCTCCCACAGGAGAAGTACCCAGCAGCCGTGCACCTCCCGGAGGGGGCCGCCTCCAGCTGCATGGTGGTCCGGAGCGCCTGCCAGCCAGGGTGAGTGCGGATGCCCTGCAGGCCCAGCTCCCCAACACCCAGGCGGCTGCTTGCTGTTAAAAACGAGGATTAGAAAACGAATGTCCGCTACCTTCCAGGCACCTTGAGATGCCTGTGGGCGGTGCTGGCCGTGCAGCTGCGGGGAGGAGAGCAGGGTGTGGGACGTGGGGCAACGGCCAGTGTTGCTGGGCTCGCTGCAGGGCTGGAGGGAGCCCGGGGGAGGCCGGGAAGGGCTGGAGCTGTCTTGATGGGCTGGCCTCAGAAAAGGCCGGGAGGCAGCAAGCGCTGGGTGAAGGGAGGACTCCCTGGGGTCTGTGTGCACGGTCGGCGTCAGAATGCCTGGAGGTGCTTTGTTTTCACACCTGAAGATGGTGCTGCAATTCTGTGGGCCTCTCAGACTTGCCTGTGTTACTCGGCACTATACCCAAAGTGAGCTTCTGCTTACGTGTGGAGCTGTGTGCAGCTCACTCTCGGTGGTTCTACTCCATCAGCTGTATTTCTGCCTTCTTCGGGTCTTGGGCACTGGGGTCATCCGTCGTTTTCCCCTGGTTCTCACGCTCCTGTCCATGTCCCCGGACACGTGAGGACCCAGGCTTCTGTGGCTGGAAGTGAAATTCCTGGGCCACGGGGTGGGTCCGGCCTCCCATCACTGCCGAAGCCTTTCAGACTACTTCATCGGTTCAGGCTCCGCACTGCAGGTTTTCTGCACCCTGTATGGCCACACCACCACATCGTGGGTACCGAACAGCATCTTGCTGGGCCTCGGGGTCCACTTCCCTCTTCGTTCTGTCACATGTGCTTCCCTGAGCAGATGTGGCGTGTGTCCATGGCCAGACGTCTTCAGGAGCACCTCCCCAGGGAGGGTGACAGGTGACACACGGGTCCCACTTCCCACCCGATTTGAAAGAGCCCTTAGGGACGCATCTTACCTCTTTCAGGTTCGAGCTGGTCGTCATTTGGAGGGTGCAGATAGATGAAGGAGGCAGGGTTTTGCCGAAGCTGGATCTTCTACCCAAAGCACCACAGCAAGGTAGGGGCCCCCGGGGTGGGGGTGTGAGGACTTCTTACTGTGCCCAACAGACGCCTGCTTCTGTCATCTGGTTTTCATGGCAAGAGTCACAAGTTGAGAACTCGCTGTAGTGTTTGTATCGGTTTATCAGGAATCAGAAAGCAGAGGCGAGGAGGGACCGTTCCGTCCCCCCCTCTGGCGTGCGGGTCCGTGCCCATGGTCACGACAGTTTGGGACGGAGGGGGTTCTCAGTGTAGAGTCTCAGCCGGCTTGCTCTCCCTGCAGCCCTGCAGCTGGACCGGAACCGAGTCCTGGAGACCGCGCCTCTCAGCTTCCGAGCCCTGCTGGGCGCACTGGGCATCGAAGCCGCCCTCGAGAGCCTGATAAAGTCGCTCTGCACAGCGGACCGCGACTAGTTCCGGGCAAACACGCAGGTGTGGGATCTTCCACATGAACAGTTTCTGTTCCACAGAGAAACAACACCTTTAGGACACGTCTGTGCAGCTTCAGCTCATTCTATATAAACTGTCGGGACATGGAAAAATAAACGCAGCCATTGAATACGAAGTGTCGGACGAGCAGCACGTACAGTGCTTAGGGGCGCCTGGCGGGCTCGGTTGGGGGAGTGTGCAACTCTTCATCTCAGGGTCAGGAGTTCGAGCCCAACACGGGGGGCATAGATTACTTAAAAAAAAAAATTTCTCAAAAGTTAAGCTTATTATTATTCTTTTAATAATAATAGGAGTGAGTGTCCATCCTTGGATCGGGGGAGCAGCCGGTCCTACCTCTCACCAGGTCTGAGGGTGGAGGCGTCCTGTGTTCTGGAGATCGGCCCTCCCCTTGCCACCCGAGGACCCCACTCCCTAACATTCCTGACACCGGGGCGACGCACCGCCCACCTTGCCACCCTGCCCAGTAGAGCAGAACTCACTCCTCTTGGCCTTCACATGAAAGTGGAGCAGTCAGCTTAAAAAATGCAGTAATACAGACTCGACCCCACCCCCACCCCCCTGGGCAGCACTGGCCTCAGCTGCCCCATTTAAAAGGTTAGAGTCGGTAGAAACATCGCCTGAAACCACAGTCAGGGAAGGGGCCACACTGGAGTGTGAGGCGGAGACCACACAGGGCAGGGCCTCGTCGGTCCGCATGTCCCCCCATGGATGCTGGTGCTTTCAGCCGGGACGGGCCTGGGAGGTGGCCTGACCCACCTCCTGGCAGGGCCGGGGTCCTGTGCACACCCATCCTCACGCAGGCCAGCAGCAAGGAGCGACCTCAGGCCGAAACGACACAGATGCTTCCACACATGTCCCTGCGAGGGGCGTCTCCAGAGCCCCCCAACGCACACGGACGAGACACGTGTCATTTGAGTATTTTTCTGAACCTCCGAGTGTGGAGAAAGCAAATGTTAGGACAAGGCTGAATAAATTCTAGGAGAGCTGGCTTGATTCAAACAAGTATAATTCTCAAGTTATCACAAAATTCCCCACAAAAATTTACAATCAGCAAAATATTTTTCACGTAGCGTTTTCATACAATTCCGTGGTTTTGCCATTATAATCTTATGTTACAATAAACCTTCATTAGTCCCTCAAAACAATGATATAAATAATCTGTACAACCTACCATAGAATAAAAAACCAAAGCCAAGATTCCCCCCAGTTTTCTTAGCAGCCGGGCACACCTACGGTGACCCCAACGAGAACCCTCTTGGTGCCAGCCAGGAGTCGCTCATCTGTGGGAGCACGCCCCGCTGGCGACGTCCCCAGACACCCAGAATGCCTGGCGCGAGCCGCCCCGACGCCAGCTCCGCGGCAGCGACTTCGCGTGGCAAGGGACGCCTCGTCTCCCCTAGAGTCAAAGATAAAATCATTCAGCTAAAAAGAAAGCGCTCGAGTGAGTGGCGTCCACCCCGACCTGAGTCCCGTGCTCCCTGACGACCCTGCCCTGTGCAGAGCGGAGGCCGTGGCGCCTCCAGAGACCCCGAGTCCATGCAGCTCAGGACCCACATCCGCACCAGCCACCCATCGCTCCCTGCAGCAGAGAGCCCACTAAACCTGTGCTGCCTGGTGGCTCGCACAGAAGCAGTGACCACATAACTCAGCTGGGGGAGTTCCAGTAGTATCCATGTTTTCCTTCAAGTCCAAACGGTAAGATGTACGCGACAATTCAAGTTTACTATGTTAGCGTCTGGTGGTAGGAGATCCAAACCGTGGGTCTTAAGGCTTTTACATCAGAGATTAGACATGAGCCCTGGGTGGGGAGGAGGAGCGGCCCAGAGCAGAAGGTGTGGGGACACCGCACGCCCAGCGCTCCCCATCCTCGAAGGTGCTTCTGGTGGCCTTCCATTCGGGTCACCCAGACGCAGCCCCACCTGAACACGGGTTAAGAAGCAAAAACATTCACAGCCAAAGGTCACGCAGCACAACGGGGAAGAGCCCTCTCATTCAGCCTTCACATTCTGCGTTCAAGTTTCAAAGACCCCGCAGGCAGCGCCTAGACCTTATGGAGAACTAATGTGCAGTCCTCACTCTCCTTGAACCTGGTCGACATCACAGCTGCATCTTTGGCGTGTACAGTCTTTGAGTAGAAGTTGACTATCTTGCCGTCCAGTTTGTACTGGTGAGGAATGCTCTCATAGGGCTTGAGGTCGAGGTCCAGCACAGACACGGAGAACGCAAACCTGGATCTCGACGAAGGGACGACAGGCCTTTGATCGGAGCTGGAAGTGAAAGGGCAGCTTCAGGACACATGAACCCCCCAACACCCAAACCCTCACCCTGCTCAGGGTGCACACCCCGCCTAGGCCCGCCATGACACCCGCCACCGCACGGACGGGAGGACTGGCAGGTATCCCCCAGTCCCTGGGGGCACTTGACCAGGAGTCAGCAATCACTAACCCTGAGAGAAAGGAGAACGTCGACCTGGCCCTTCCTCAACCCGACGGAGCAGACTTCCCTTCACCCGCCTTTTCCCACATCTGCTGAGAAGCCCGTGCTCCCTGAGGCTCTTCCCATTTGGAGAGAGAGCTGATTTCATGCTCTAGTCTCAAATCTAATCTGCAGGTTTTGATGTTTTGTTCTTAAGGCTTCATTCTGTGGGCTGCCTAAACATCAGAACAGTCGCGTGCTTATAACAGAAGATGAACAGTTATTTGTACTAAAACCAACCACTCTGAGGCTAATTCTGAATTTTGTATTAAAATTGCTGTGTATCCATCTCACTCAGCTCTCAGATGCTTGGTAATATTTCACATCCAATAACTGGTTAAATATATGCGCTCGGTTTGGCCCAAGAAGAATACGAGTCCTAGTTTCCCCACGCTTACTACTCTTCTAGAGTTAGAAAGCAACACAAATTGTAAAAGCTCCTGCCTGGGAGGGGAAGACCAATCCACACGCTCCCGTTCTGATGAAGCTAATCAAGGCCGAGACTCTCCCTTCACTCCTGCCCCAAAATGCCCTCTCTCTAGGGAAAACGGAGCCCTGGCTCAGCTGCTGGGTCACAGCTACTCCCTCCCGAACGGCAGCGAAGGTCCCGCTTCTGAGGCCCGAGCTCCAGGCAGCAGGGCCGGGACAGCACCTCTCCAGCCCCCAGCAGGTTTCCCCCGCCGAGCCGGCACCTGACAAGGCGACACGCACACAGAGGGGCATCGCTCGGCACACGGGCTGCCTGTGTGTCCACCACAAGCTCCCGTGAGCCCAGGGCACAGCTCCAAAGCCGAAACGCTTCTGCGCCACGGGGCTCCCAGGACATGCACCCCCACCCCGCCCGTCTGCGCCTGCGCCTGCCGAGCAGCCGGCCAGCCCTGCACATTCCCGCACATTCCTGAGTGCGTGCCTGTTTCAGGAAGGGCAGCGGGTGACATCTGCATGCTTCTGCCATCGGACAAGGCCAGCTCGATCAGTGAACTCGCACTGCAGGCACTTCCTCACGGGATCACAGGGGTCCTCCACTAAACAGAACAGCCTTTTTGTACTTCAGTTGCACCCTACGAACATCCCTCCGTGTTTCCGATCCGCTCCATGCCTGCCAGGGAGCAGCGGTCCTGGGAATGTTTAGTTCAAAAGCATCTGAAAAACGGGTGGCTGGCAGCCAACGATAAGGTCATCTTGACCCGGGAACACACGTCGGAAGAATGTGGAACGTTCCACAAACACTGTGTGTGGGGTTTGGCACCCTGAGGATCAATGCTGAAGATGCCATCTAATTAGCAAGAGAAGATTACAGGTTCATCCTGAATTCCTAAAAAAAGGCAGGGGAGGGGACCGGACAAGGATGATAATGTCCAGGGAGAGCTGCTGCCAACAGGACGCGCAACAGCGACGTGCTGTCCCACAGGCACATGAGGGTCAGGACCTGGTGGGGGATCTGCAGCTTCTCAGGCCTCCAAGCCTCAGTGGGCACGTGGGGCCTTGAGAGGAAGGAATTTGTACCAAGGATCCAAGCTGCTTCTAAGTCTTTGGAGTATTTTCTTAGAAAATCATAGTAATCTTGGGGCGCCTGGGTGGCTCAGTCGTTGAGCGTCTGCCTTCGGCTCAGGTCATCATCCCAGGGTCCTGGGATCGAGCCCCACATCGGGCTCCCTGCTCGGCGGGAAGCCTGCTTCTCCCTCTCCCGCTCCCCCTGCCTGTGTTCCCTCTCTCGCTGTGTCTCTCTCAAAGAAAATAAAATCTTAAAAAAAAAAAAGAAAATCATAGTAATCTTTAATAGGACAGTCTTTTTAAGTTATTCTCCATAAATGTCTTTCCAGCTGACTCACACGCTTCTAGAGAGCAGTGGGAGTCAGCAAGCCGTGGCGGGTTACTAGGTGTCGTGCGGGCCGTGGGCATCAGCCTGTCAGCAGACATGGCCCTGCCAGGGCGCTCTGGCCACAGGGACACGGGCACGACCATGCAGCAGGCAGCTCACCTGGAGTCCTGCAGGCAGGGCGAGAGCGCGATCATGATGGAGCAGTCCTTCGCAGTCATGGCCACCCGGTACTGCTGAACCTACGGGGGACGGAGAGGTCAGCGCTGGCCGGGACCACACCCCCACCACACGCACCCGGCACGGCCCAGGAACCGGCTACAGACCCGGGGGTGAGTGAGGGAGCCCCAGGCCAGCCCGGCCCTGACCTCTCACTGCAGGTAGCATGTGGACCCCGACTCCAAACACTAGGATGCAGGCTTGTCTGCCAGCTTGGAAGTTCGCTACCTGGGCTACCAGGGTGCTGGGCACCCTGACGGTGCTGGGCCAGCTCTGCTCCACACACACCCAGTGAGGCCTGCTCGGGTCACACCGCCACCACGAG